TTGACTGTCAGTGTCTCTCTGTGCATCAGACTGGGTGGGATGAGCAGCCGCGTGTGTCCGTGTCTGCATCTGGTCCCAGGGGCGGACAGCGCTCGTGCTCGTTCTCGCTCTTGTGCTCGCTCTCGTGCTCGCTCTCGCTCTCGTACTCGCTCTCGCTCTCACCGGCATGGTCTGGCCGCCGTGCAGGGTGTTGATGGCAGCCTGGGCCTCGGCATGGCTGGAGAACTTGACGAAGGCGCAGCCTGCTGACAGCACAGAGAGAGACGGGCACAGAGTCAGCCTCCATCCGGTGCCAACCCCCCCCCCACCCCCACCACCGTTACTTTCATTCAAGCGCTTCGTTGGCGCATTCCATCATCGACGTCCTCGGCGCATAACGGCGAATAAATCATCCTAATTGCGCTGAATGCATTAACTGCGCACGACTGCGTGCCCCGGGTTCAGACACGGAGCCTCCCAACCGGGAGAGGGGGAAGTCGAAACCCTCCGTTCCGAGACTCGTTTGCAGTTATTAATCTGTTTGATATTCGCACGCTGCGATCCGCGCCCTACGACTGCGGCGGGAGGCGGTGAGGCAACAAACGGCGATGGAACATGTCAGTCGGTCTAGTTACAGCCTCTGAGCGAGTTGAAATCTTCTCACCCCTTTGCCCGTAGGCCCATTACTGAGCCGACGACGAACTGAAAACATAACAAATGTAGCCGGGAATCCGCTTTAGCGACTCTCCATATAAGGTTCCTAATGATGCTGAAATTTCCGAACGCGCAAAATTGCTTGGATCCACATTGCCGCTCAGTAACAAACAATGAAAATACACTAAATAATACAAATTGTTTTTTGTTTTTTTTTTTTGGTTTTGAGCTGCCTTTGGATCCAATACGCGGTCAGGTCGCTCTGACATCATGAGGCTGAAAAAAGATCAGGCACTGATAGAGGTAACGGCTGTAGCGCAGGGGTCCGGCCCCGACCCCAACCCCAGCACCGGCTGTGCCTCTGCACAGGTGTGTCCTTAATGAGCAGGTAATTGGCAAACAAAACCCACCTGCAGCTGATGGGCAGGAGTCCAGCAGGAGCAGGAAGGGAAAGTAGGTCTAGCCAGGGGATGCTACTTAATTCTCGCCCCTCTCCAGAGCGATATTTCTCAGAGCAGAGGGAGTGCGAGTGCAGGTTCTTACAGAAGGACCCCAACACCCCAGTGCCCATGTGTTTATAAAAAGCTAATCAAGGAGGAATCTGGCTGGATCCGCCCCTGCTTCAGTTCTGCTTGTTACTACGTAGATCCCAGTAGAGGAACCAGTGCTGCAAATGGTTAGCAAGACATCTCAAGCAGCCTCAACACTAAAAGTCTTTAAAAGACCTATTCAAAACAGCCATTTTATTTGAAGGTGAAGGCAGATTTGTCATTTTTTATTTGGGCTTTTTTATGTGGTTTCATAACTTCTGTGATATTATCTTTTCTGTTAAATCTCTTAAGATGAGTAATGACCCAGGTTTGAAAAACTCAGAAGTGTTGGCTTGTAAAGGAAATGATGTAACAGATGCCTACAGCAACAGAATAAGAGTAGATATGTCCTATATGTAGAGGCACAAACAAACATGCCAACAGACAAAAAAAACCTACATCAAAGTAGATGCTGAGATGAATATGAATGAAGACACACAAACAAAGAGAAAAAAAATCCACCCAATTAAAATGGAGACATTTAAAAAATAAATGTTAACAACAAATTTGCTGTCTGGTCAGATACTGTATGAGCTGTAAAGGGTTTTTGGAAACATATGGAAAGCTCACATGATAAAATGAATTGTTTCCCCTTGACAAAACAAATTATTTGTTGTTTTTATACGTATAAGGCAGAGGCTACAAACGGGGGCAGCGGCTTAGCTAGAAATTCTGGATCCCCTGACAAAATGTCACCTTGTGCTCCTCGGGGAGTCCCCCTGGCGGGGGGGGGGGGGGGGGGGGGGGG